AGAATTGCGAAGAATAGAATTAATTGTCATTAATTAAAAAGATGGAACTTACAAATAATCCAAGGGAATTGAAAAACAAGATGGAAAAGTAGAAGAAATTTCGTCCCTAGGGCTCTCTCTAAGCTCCCCCTTTAATTAGGGTTAGAGAGGTGTTATTTATAGGAAACAAAGCAATTCGGGTTGAATTAGGAAACAAGGAAATTCGCACTTAAATTAGGAAACAAAAACGGGGCACGCACGGATTTGCTAAAACGTCCGAATTTGAATTTACTTCCTTCTTGAAAGTTGTAGATAATGAAGTCATCTATCCACCCCAATTTTCCGAATTAGATTTGAATCATCCAATCAACAGATATGAATAAAATGGTGGAATGTCTCATTCTGAAATCGCAACAGGGTTCATCTGACTTCGTCGTCTGTTTTCACATTCTTCCTATCCGATTCTAGAAAAGGTGTCTTCGCATGATTTGTAGCCCTTGAAGTTGGCTTTCATATGGAACTTGAAACGTGTACATTGGATGTCTCTACAAGGAGATATGCTTGAATGATTAACAGAAGGTCATCCTGATCGTCATTTTCAAGCTCTATTTGTCTTCTTTTGATCCCGTAGCCAATCCTAGAGCTCTTTTATCTTCAACTCTTCATCGTAAACCTCCCGGTGAACTCCAAAGCTCTCAAATCAATCTCTAATGTTTCTCAACTCGTCCCGATTGCTTCTCAAGCGCCGGTGTTGGTGTCTAAAATCCTGATTTTGACTCCAAATGACACAAAACTCGAACCAACGCCCGGTAAACATAACTTGAGTTAAAATTGAGACTTGCAACACCTTAAAGCTAGGAAAACTATCAAAATGCAACCCCAACATGCATCAAATGCGTGTTGTAATATGTACTTATCAGAATTCCCCCACACTTAAGCTTTTGCTTGTCCTCAAGCAAACAGAACAACGGGACTTACGATAATCACCACACAGAATCAAAACAGTTAGCAGACACATGTAGCTAAAGGAATATTCACAGAACAGACAATCTAAACCTAGAAAATTCTTCCCTAAACTACATCTTTATACTCAAGCTAACTATTTGACAAAATTATTCACAACATCCTTAAAGTAATGACATCATACACAAATAAACTAGCTATTGATCAGAAGGACTTGTGAAGGTGATGATGAATGGTGGATGGTAATAAATAGTCCCTTTCTTTTGAGAGATTGGAAAATATTCTAACAAAGACTTAATGCATTCAGGAATTTCAGGACTATTCTTAGGATCAAGGAACTCAGTAGGCCACAATTTAGGAACAATCATCTAAACCTATGCAAAGAGTAGACATGATGTACAACTAAGCTAAACCGCCGCGGCACGTTGGTGCTTGACGTATACTTGAATTACACGGAGAACTAAAGCTAATTTTCAATAGCCCCCAAGTTTATTAATTATGTTTAGTTTTCCTTGTCATGTTGGCACGAGAACGCCATTTCTTTCGAAAGATACCCAAGTCTCATCTTATTGTGTAAAACACTTACGCTTTTTGACCCGGGCTCCCATTCTCTTTTTCGCAAGGCAAGAGGTCTAGCTATATTAATTTTTCACCTTTCGGATTCTCACTTAGACATTACCCCATTCTAATCTCGGCCTCACCAAGGAAAAATAGCAGTTAAAGTTCATTTGTTTTAGAAGTGAATCCACGCCTACAATGCAATCCTCGAAAATATCAAGATCCTAAAAAGTGACTGCTCTTACCCCATTTGGGGCATAGGAACAGTGCCAAAATTGGCTCCTACACAAAATTCCATAAACTCAGAAAATTCATCCCCTAGTTTCCTAAACATGAAGACTACGTCAGAAATATTCACGGGTAAGAAAACAGGCCATTTGGCTATGGAGCTCAATTAATTGGGTAAACAAGGAATGGTCAGGCTCAAAATGGCTTCTCCTAAAGGACTTTTTCAAGTGGGATGGATGATTACGAATTAATTCAACGGGTGACTAATGCCTTCATCCTCTCAATAACTAGATTATAGTGCAAGCAATTTAAGCCTAAACACTTCAAAGATGTTCTACAAGCATAGTCAAGATGCTAGCCAACTCACAAAGACACAGTTTAAAGAAAAAATTTCAAAAATTTTGACATGACTTTTCTATGAATATACAACTAACACCTGCGCATGCTAACTCTAAAAATCCCATGTAACAACTACTGCCCGAATGCCTAATTCACTCCCCCACACTTAAACTTTGGCATCGCCCTCGATGACCAAAAATGCACTATGCACAAAGGGGTAAAGAGGAAAGGGTCACTCGTGCTCAACTTCAACTCAAGTCAACAATTAACACATGCGAGTAAGAGTAATAGGAACTTCCCTAAGGCGCTGGTTGGTGCAGAATTAAACTGAGTCAATGTAAACTGTGGCGCATCATCCAGAAAAGACCTGAGCTACAAAACAAACACAGAAACACAAAAAACACACAAAACAAAAACAAAAAACATGCAGAAAACAAAAGTGCAGAAATAAGCTTGGGTTGCCTCCCAAGAAGCGCTATTTTTAACGTCGTTTGTCCGACGATACCTCGTAAGCTTTCAAATAGCACAAACTGTAGTGGGGCACTAATTTTCAAAGTATCCAGGTTTCTCTCAACAAATGCCCTTAGGTGGCGCAAATTCTTAAACTCTTGAAACCATGTAGGAATCACATGGTCTTCAAAAAACTTATCAGCACAGAACTGGAGGATCAGCCTCACATCCTCCTTGAGTGGACATAAAACATGAGTCAAAAATTTGATTACTCCAGGCTCAAAAGATGTTTTGATGCAAGGATCTGTAGCAACATCAAACTCGAACTGCAACATAGAAAAGTATTTTTCTTCCTCACAATTATACTGAAAATTCACAGCATCTCCTCCGGACTCCATATCACTCCCCATGTGAGCATCCCAACTCTCGGTAACACCGTTCTTATCAATGTCGTCTTGGAAAGTGTTGTTACTCTCCACACAAAAAGGAATATCATCATCAAGGAGTGAATCAAAGAAATCCAAATCTGAACCCACGTAAGATTGAATCGGTGCATGTGTACAAGAGGGGTAATCTTGCTTGTGGAGTGGGACTTCTTCATTATGAACACCATCTACCTCACCCCCACTCTCTTGAAACGTGTAATCATCTTTTCCCAACTCATCTTCAATACCCAAACCTACCTCAGTAGCACCATTATCATGACTGATCTTCTCCTAGCCCTCCTCAGGTGTTGAGACTAATGATAAATCAAACGGATGGGGAGTTTCTGTATGAAGATCACAGTGATTTGTGATTTCATCACTTACAGCTTGTACCGTTTCGAACATTTTCCTGTATTCTTGGAAAAATAATTTGACACTATAATCTTCTTCTTCATCATCTTCAAACATAGGTGGGTCTTCAAATGCATTAGGAATTGTATCATCCATCACACTCACACCTTCGCTGTCTGACTCAATGCCATGATCATCCTTATTGGTCTCCTCAGGTTGGGCTTCTGTGTCGTTAGGATGAGATCTCCCGGGCTCCTCAGATAGGACATTAAACAGCTGATCCAAGTGATTTTCCATGTTCTGCATCCTTGCATTTGCTTGTTGATTATTTACCTCAGAAGCCTGTATGAATTGCTTGAGTGTTTCTTCCAGGTCAGATAGCTTCTCTGAAATTATCTCTTCCAATTCGTCGTCTGAATCTTGCGGCTCATAGCTCAGCAAAGACGTAGGAGTGATTGAAACATTTGTATTTGTAAGTTATGGGGAGGACGAAGTGGGGTATGCAGTTGCCCAGTAAGGATGGTCGTATGGAGATGGGGCAAAGACATGAATGGTGACCACCTCCATAGAAGTTACAACTGCTATTTTTAGGAAAGCAATCGACCAATTCCTCAGGATTTTTAGTTCGAATGAGAAATTCTAGAATGGAGCCACGTTGTGCCCTTGGATATTGTGGATAAGGATAATGATTAGGAGAATGAGATTGGGAGAATTGCGTATTTGGAAGAGGGTAAGAATAGGAAGATGGAAATTTTTGTGGTGTTGAAGAGTAATATTGGCGAGTTGTGTAGAATTGAGGAGGAGGAGGAGGAGTGTAAGGAGGAGGGTATGACGTATTGTGTGAATATTCCATGGAGGTGAATGAGTGCATCTCATGCCTTTTAGAAAAATACCTGAGAGGTTAGTACAGAAAAATCCTACGGAAAACTAAAAAAAAAATCTAACTAAAAAAAATCTCGCTGAAATTAATTAACCCTTAAAACCGACACCGTCCCCGGCAACGGCGCCAAACACTGATGTGAGTTTTCTCGCACTTAAAAAGATTGTAATATAGCAGTGAAAGTACGAGTATCGTCTCCACAGGGACGGTAAAAGGGAATTAAGAATTAACTAAAAATCAGCGATAAAGAAAAAATAATATAAATGCGGTCGTGCGAGATTTGGTTGCTTGAGAAAACTAAAATTGCAAATAAACGATTAATTGAGTTCTTCTTAATTAACAACGAAGGGAACAGGGATTGATTCCGGGGTAATCAGATTTCTGACAGATCATGCTTAATTACATGAATTTAATTTAATTGAGCCTAGCTAATCAATACTAAGTTCTTACCGCTCTCGCGGCGTAGAGTACAATAATTTAGGGGACCAGGCTGATCTCTCATGCTACATGATCCTAAATTATTGCCAAGACGAACGAGCTTACGGCCCCTTAATCGCTACTAATCTCTTAGCGAACGATTAAGTGTGTGTGAATGTGTCCTAGAACAAATTAGATTTCTCTTAATTTATTCTATAAGCAATTGTAATTCTAGTGGCCATTCTAGGTTACAAAAGATATCAATTAAATTATTCAAACACAAATTAAATGGCATTCATGCAATTTACACCATCAAGAACCTAACCATACATCATGATTAACCCCTTCATCAACCACAAATCCCTAATTAAAACTACTCACAACTCATAATTGAAGAATCAATAGAATTGCGAAGAATAGAATTAATTGTCATTAATTAAAAAGATGGAACTTACAAATAATCCAAGGGAATTGAAAAACAAGATGGAAAAGTAGAAGAAATTTCGTCCCTAAGGCTCTCTCTAAGATCCCCCTTTAATTAGGGTTAGAGAGGTGTTATTTATAGGAAACAAAGCAATTCGGGTTGAATTAGGAAACAAGGAAATTCGCACTTAAATTAGGAAACAAAAACGGGGCACGCACGGCTTGGGTAAAACGTCCGAATTTGACTTTACTTCCTTCTTGAAAGTTGTAGATAATGAAGTCCTCTATCCACCCCAATTTTCCGAATTGTATTTGAATCATCCAATCAACAGATATGAATAAAATGGTGGAATGTCTCATTCTGAAATCGCAACAGGGATCATCTGACTTCGTCGTCTGTTTTCACATTCTTCCTATCAGATTCTCGGAAAGGTGTCTTCGCATGATTTGTAGCCCTTGAAGTTGGCTTTCATATGGAACTTGAAAAGTGTACATTGGATGTCTCTACAAGGAGATATGCTTGAATGATTAACAGAAGGTCATCCTGATCGTCATTTTCAAGCTCTATTTGTCTTCTTTTGATCCCGTAGCCAATCCTAGAGCTCTTTTATCTTCAACTCTTCATCGTAAACCTCCCGGTGAACTCCAAAGCTCTCAAATCAATCTCTAATGTTTCTCAACTCGTCCCGATTGCTTCTCAAGCGCCGGTGTTGGTGTCTAAAATCCTGATTTTGACTCCAAATGACACAAAACTCGAACCAACGCCGGGTAAACATAACTTGAGTTAAAATTGAGACTTGCAACACCTTAAAACTAGGAAAACTATCAAAATGCAACCCCAACACGCATCAAATGCGTGTTGTAATATGTACTTATCACCTAACAGTGAGATTCCTCAGCATGTTACATACATTAATTAGAGGGAAAAATATATGTATTATAAAATGAAGTGAATAAGTGATATATATGTAATAAACATTGCTCTCTTAGTGGTTGGAATATCAAAATAAAGCAAAATTTCATTAAAACCTGTAAATTGACAATGAAAGTAATACATCCAAACAGAGGCACTAAATACCATGGATCAGTATGCTAAAAAAGGTATTATAAAGGCGCATTGCAAAACAAATCTTAAATCCGGTATGCTGTCAATATAGATTCCCATGAAACCATAAAGGATTATAAGTACAACAATAGTCATTCCATGAGAAAGAATTGAAAATATAATTATTCATTTCTTGGGTTATACAATCACGGTTCCTAATAAAGCATCTAAATAGGTCACTTTTTTATCCTTAGTTTATACACCACATTTCAGTACGTACTCATAAAATAAAAGTATACATTCAGGGATCCATCTAAGTCTTGGAATAGTGATTCCTAGCATTATCATGCTTCAGAAATTTATGTATTGATGTACTACTCCCTCCGGTTCTTATTAAAGTTCCCACTTTCCTTTTTGGAATGTCCCTTATTTAAGTTCACACTTCCATTTTAGGAAACAAAACAATGCAAAACAGTGCCAAACAGTGCCAAACAGTGTCCAAACAGTGCCAAACAGTGCATTCCACAGTAAAGTCACATTCATTTTCTTAATATGTGTGAAGTCAAACTGGGAACTTTAATAAGAACCGGAGGGAGTATAATCTACAAAAGCTCACATGAGAAAGAGCATATATTGGTAAGTTAACTTGTAATAATCATCTATTTTAGGATGCAGATTCCTCAAAAACATTATGTGAAATGTATAGACGAAGTAAAAAAGAATACCCAACAAAACTTTGAATGAGGTGGTTAGTTCTAGCCATTATAAAAAAAATCGTATATAGATCTAAAATGAAGTGAGCAAACAGAGCATAAAAACAGACCATTTTCTCAATGGCATTGATTCACATTTCTTTTATTATAGATTATAGATTGTTAAAAACTCAAACTAAGAATTACATTTCAACAAAGAGAAGTCATAATCGTTTTTGAGAAATTTCATGGTGTCGATTGCACCAACAATTTGATAGAAACTCTGATTTGCGAAGCAGAAGGAAGGATTTGAGAGAAATTTCACAAGTCATCTGCTTCAACAATTAGAGAGACTTTCGATAATTTTATGAGAATGATAAAATATAGGAATGGAGCGATGGCCGTATCACAAAAATCCATATTTTTTAGCAAAAGGGGAAGACGATCGAGTTGAGGTATATTGACGCAAAGGTATATGAATTTAGGCGGGATACTTAAGTGGATTAATTTAGTATAGATAGATAAATAGTATTAAGAATGCTCAACTTGAGTAAGAGAAACTTAAACTGTGTTTTCCTAAGCTCTCTTAAATGCAAGTTTTGGCTTAGCAGATAAGTCTTAGTGTTTGAAATGCAACTTTTGGCTTAGCAGATAAATTTATTGAATGAGAGCCTGAATAATCTATTTAAAGTATTCTATAGAACTTTACTGATAAGCAATATGAAAAAAAATCAAGTTTTCCTTAATTGTTTGTCCACATTATGGAAACTGTCTGTATGAAATAAGTTTACAATAATTATCCAATTACACATTGGTTGCTCAGCTTGCTATAAGAAATTTTTCATTATAAACATGTAAATTGGTTAAATATATGAAATAATATGATTTTAGAGAAAAGGGCAAACAAATGGGGTTCAAAATACACGGGTTCAAAATACAAATGGGGGTCCTTTATAATTTTAAGTGGAAGTCAAACTTGGTTAATCTTAATTGGTGACATAGGGAGTAAAACTTACTTGACATCTTCAGCGGAAGAAAGGGAATGGGTGCCAACCCCACCTGGCCACCTCCCAGGGAGAGCAGTACTTCGATTCCCAGCCTCTTGCATGCTTTGATGTCGGCACTCAGGCCGGTGCACCCATTGCAGCCAGGATCACAATGGCCAGCTAGGTTCAGGACCGGTTTCTGACCACTCCCAAACACGGTCAAGAAAGCAACATTGACGATGTTGTAGTTTCCAGACGAGCAGGTATCTCGCAGGCTGCCTTCGTATCCATTAGAGAATCAATAGATTATGATATAAACTACAATGGAAAGAACAATAAAATAAGGTGAAGAGCAGATATACTTAAAATACATAAGCCTCAAATTTAAGATTTTTAACAGAACTTGGAGGAAGTAAAGTTAAATGCTGAATAAGCTTAAGGCATGTTACATACGGAGTATAATATGAAAATATAGATTAGAGAGATACTACTAACAAACAATTGTGAGGTTTGTTGAGATGAACTTTCCAAGGCTCAAACAGGGAGCTACATCTGTCAATTGTCAATATGAAGGTCATTGTTTTAAAATTGGTTAAGCCCATTGTTTTCAAAGTTTATCAAAAAAAAAGCAGGTCATATTATTTCCCAAAGTTTGTCAAAAAAAGCAGCAGGCTAGCATATTAGTTAGGATACTTCATACTTGAAGAAAATAATAATCAAGTTCCAGAGTCATTAAATAATAGCCAAAAAAGATAACAATGAAAGGAAAAAAAAATCTCAACAAAGAAGGCACCAAAATGTTGATTCAATGTATTCTGAAGCAATGTATTCTGTTTTATATCACAATATCAGTACCCCTACACATTCTAGCAATGTATGTTTTAGAACAGAAAAACACTTCATCATCTACAAACAGGTACACACATTCTGTTACGTTTTTCTAGCTTAAAAAATAAACATTATTCAAGTACAGGTTTAGTTACAAAATGTAGATTTGTCCTTTTAAGTAGCATTTGTGCTACTAACCTATGGTTGGTATTAAGAAAGCATTGGACTATCACCGGCATTCAAGAAATCAATCATTTACAAACACTAAATAGCCTAAAGAGGCTAATTAATAGAGTATTTGCATGACAATTAGACTGACAATTATGTTTAGCCCTACCTTACAGGCTAATATTCATCATAAGTACTTCTAAGGAGATCGATCATTCAAATATTAAAGAACGTGTTGCCAATATATTCTGTTTTTAGAACAGAAAAATAGTACCCCTACACATTTTGGATAAAGCTATGCTATTATCATTTAATTTGATAATTCAATTTGAGTTTGTGATCTGGAGTTCTCTTTCTTTCTTGTATAGATAATAGAGCTAATCAGATTCAAATTATAGTTTTTTTAAATACACTCAAAAATAAGAAATTATGCAGTGTTCAGAGAGAAGAACTACACTACATGATAAGAAAACAATAAGATTTGTACCTTCTCGTTAATAAGTCTAGAGTATTCTATAGACTTCAGATAGAATACTAACCAATAATGCGAAGAATGATTGAGATGGACTCCATAAGCCGTGAGCGGAAGCAAGTTGAAATTTGTCTCCAAAATCGATAAGCAGGGGTTTTAAAGTTTTTGAAAATAAAATCTTAGATCCCAGATTCCCAGGATGAGGAGGTTGGGGAGGAGATAAAGAAGAGATTTTTCATTGTTTTAAAAAACAATACTGATTTTAGAATAAGAAGGAAGGATAAGAGAAGATGAAGAAGAGGTGGAACCGTAAGAAGGGTAAGAAGAAAGAGCAGGCTCGGAGGCATTTCAGCTACGTTTAATAGAAATAATAGGTAGTTACGTAAATGCTCTTAAGCATGAGCGGGAAAGAGACTTAACTCACTTAATATATATATAGATATAGATGCAGCGAGAATAAAGGGTACCAGACTTCCTCCATCTAATATCATGAAAGGCAGATGATAGGGAAAAGTGACCATCCTTCTCTGGTAGCCAGATAATATTGCCATTATCATCAATATCAGATAAGCTCTCACCCCTATTGTTTATGTTGCATATTCTTCTCCAGATGCAGGAATCGGTAACTTTGGGTATCATGTTATCATTCCTTGCTTACCTAGCATTATACTCCGTAGAATTTAGCCCAAAGTTAAGTATTTTGCTTCCACTTCCACCATAGCTTAAGAGAGAAGGCCTTTTTCAATATCTGATAGCAATCTAATTCCAATCCCTCCCTCCTCAACAGGAAGACACAACTTTTTCCAGTTCCTCCAATGATAATGTTGTTTATTAGTACTTGATCCCAAAAAAATGAGCCATTTTCCTTCCAAGTATTCTAATAACCTTCTTCGGAAATATGTCAACAACCATGAAATGAATGGGGATAGTATTACTAACATGTTTGATAAGGATAACTCTCCTTGCCTGACTAAGATTTTTCTGCTTCGATGCTGATAATTTATTGTCAATCTTCTTAATAATATCTTCATAATAAGTAACCCTGTTTATTCCTTTATGAAGGTAAGAGCCCAGATACTTCAGAGGGAGGCTGGAGTGTTGCATCCCCAGAAGATCTTCCATCTTTTTTATCCTTCCGGGAGACTGTTTAGCTGTAGCATTCTGATAATCTTTAAGATTATCAGAAATAATAAAATAAAAATAGCGTGGTTGAGATATGTGCTGAGGAGAGAGAAATAACAGGAACCACAAATTCATTGATTAAAAGGGAAAGTGACAACGTTTTTGAGATACCCAAAAAAAAGAAAGATGACAAACTTATAAGGGACAAATGGAGTAATGTCGTAAAATTTAAATTTCTAAAATAGGACTAACTAACTCTTCCTATCATATTAATTTCTCTTGTCATGTTTAATAGTACTTTTAATTTAAATAATAATAAAAATTTCCGAAACATGTCTCAACAACCACTTCAACAACTCTTCCAAAATTGACACCTCCGGTTGTCGAAAAAATTCCAATTTCACAAAAAATATCATCGTGATGAGAGATTATAAAGCAAAATTAGATATTTTCATATAGTAGAAATGTCATATTCATGACATTTTCAAATGAATGTGACATTTCTTACACATGATGATATTTTTCATTATGATCGGAACTGGTTGTGGAGAGAGGTGAAGGATGGGGCGGCATGGGCCTACATTTTAATAATATTTTTTAGGTATATTATTCTATTTTATTTTATTATTTTTAATTTTTTTAAAGGTTTTTCAATTTTACTTTACTTAATTTTTTCCCGTGTTTTATTAATTTATTAATATTTATATTATTTTTATATTTTTATTGTGAATAAAACTATGTTTTTTCTTACTAATAAAATAAATCCATTAAGGATCATAGGAAGTGGTACAATAAGAAGATGTGACATATAATAATCCTATTTTGAGAATTAAAAAATAAAAAATTATAGTCCTATTATTGCATTTATGAGTAATTTTACTCCTATTTAGGACTAATAGTCATTTTTTTGAAGTTGTCCGTCATTTTTATTAGGGGTTTTAACCTTAATATTACCAATAAGTGGATGATTGACAAAAAAGTGACCTTTATTTAATTTTCCAAAAAGTGATTGAAACTAACGATGCTACAACAACGGTTCTATAGTGACACTTGCAGTGACATTTGCAGTCACACATTAAGACAATTTTACAGTGATAACATCATAGTGACTTCATTCCACAGTGTTTACCGCCCATCTATCAGCCACAGTGACACCACCACCAGTGACACCGTCACCGGTGATACCACCATAGTGACACGACCGCCATCGGTGACACCAACATAGTGACACGACTGCCACTGGTGACACCGCCACAGTGACACGCTGACTCTGGTCACTTTGACGCGTCGTCTCCCCATTCTTCCCCGACCTCTCACAGCCCCATCACCAGCCTACCCCACCCTATCGCCGCCGCCGACCATCACCTTGGACCACCGTTGTCGACCACCACCTCACCCCAGGCTTGACTCCCCAGTCCCCAGTCACCTCCCCGACCACTGCCACCACCTAGTGACCAATACCACTGCTAACCAATCCCCATGTCCCTGTCACCGTCGCATTGACCCGACCGTCGAGGGTCATCACTACCAGTCACCACCACCAGCCAGCCGCCCTTAGCCCCAACCTCCATCTCCTATCCAGCTCCCACCACAGCTTCCCGAAAATCATGCCTAGTCCTTCCTTACCCTAAGTGCAGCCTCCTGCAATAGCCTGCCTCATCCCACCACCATAACACGCCCTAGCCCCTGCAACTGTGACATCCCACCACCACAACCCGCCTCCAAGCTGCTGCACCAAACCACTGCCCCAAACCCTACCTCAATCCCCTCCCCCTGCCACATGACCCTGCACTCACCCACTCTCCCATCCATTGCCAGCACTCCTAAGCCCAACGACGCCCCTAATTGCGTTTCTGCAGCACAACGTCGCTCCCAATTGAGCCTCCAAAGTACAACGGCGCCCCCAATTGCACCTTCACATCACAAATCTGTCCCCTCAAACCCTAAGTGTCAACCAAGTCGTAGGTAGCCATCAGATACAGTCATTGACAAAACAGCCTCGTCCATTGCAATACGTGATGCAGCGACGGTGCGAGCTGAGACACATGCCAAGGTGCAAGGCGTGAGGAGACGATGGTCAACGTAATGAGGGACACTCTCTCGTTCAACGTGGATGGGAGACTCTGGTGAATTGGCTCCCGGTTACAGCGATGATGGTGATGATGATGAAGCTCGCAGATGCGAGAATGGACCCCAATATCGCAGATGCGAGAATGGACCCCAATATCGCAGATGCGAGAATGGATGCGAAGCTCGAAGAGAGAAGCGGGGCAATTTTGACGGAAGAGTGTTTGAACGGAAGAGAGAAGCGGATGGATAACTTTTCTGTCAATTTTAAAAAGGGTCATATTTTTGTCTAATGAAAGTGGTGGAGTAATATCTATGTCATTCTTTCTTTTTATAAATGACTATTATTATATTCAAAGATTACATGTTATGTTTTTTATTCGACTAACTTCAATCACAAACTGGATAATACCATATCTGATTTAAACATATCAGAATAGATCTGATCAAATTAGATTAGATCGAACTTTGATAATTATAAAATACACATAGAACAGATACCACCCGACCAAATTATGCTAGACTAGAACAGATGTAAATAGATCATACCAGATTAGACTAGAAAATTTAAATCTAATTACAAACATCCTTAATAATGGTAAAAGTATACTTATAATCACCGTAATCACATTTTTATGCATGATCATTTGTTTAGTTATGTTTAGTTATATTTTAATAAAGACATGCTTTAAGATTATATACATTAAGTTAGATCGAAAGTAACCCTAAAAAAGTTAAATCAATAGTCATTACAAAAAATAGCTCACTTGTCATGGATTTTGTCACGGATTCCTTTTTATAAATCCCTAACAAATACTTTTGTCACAGATTTTGTCACAACCGAAATCCGTGACATCACATGCCTGAAAATATACCTTGCCGGAAACTCTTCCCTGACAATGATAGAGTATATATTCTAGAGAGAAGTGAGAGCTAGAGAGAGAAGTGCAATATATGTTGTAATAAATGATTTCTCAACCCCTACAACTACTCCCAAGGGGAGTATTTATAGAGGAAATGTGGGTTGGGCTCCCAAGTCTTGGGCTTGGGAGGCTCATTTAGAATTGGGCCACTACTGGGCTGAGTACAATGTATGTGAAAATGACTAAGTATGAAATCCAGCTTTGTGAGTTCTCTTTGGCCGACGGGGGTCTGGCCGATGGAGACCCGGCCGACATAGACACCCGGTTCTCCTAACTTCTGGATCATGTTCTGAGTTGATATCTTTCTGGCCGATGGAGGGCCATCTGGCCGATGGAGGCCCCACTGAGTGACAGATGTGCCTCTTATTCTTCTGAGTATGTGGGTCCTGGGGTCTAGACCCATATACTCCATCAGGAGTCCCCCACTCTCTGAGCTGAGATGTAGATGAAGTGAGGGAGGGTAGATTCCTGCAATCTTGATGTTTTTGGCCGACGCGGGGGCGCTGTGGCTATTCTTTGTGTTTGGTCATTGTATGCCCTTCGTTGTGGACGAAAGAGGCTATTGTTCTGCTGATGGTGTGTGCTTGTTTGTTTGAGGACGATGAGTGTCCTGGCTCAGTGGCTGATATGCGTCTTTGATTTGAGTAGCCGATGAGGGTGATGTTTCTTCTCTTTGGCCGTTGGCGGTTGCCTTTTGTGTTTTTGGCCGAGGAGGCCCCATGGTTGCTTTTAGTGCTCTAAGTTGAAGCGATAATATTCGTAGTTTGGCGTTCATGGCTTTGAGGATGGTTGCTTCTTTGTTTGCTTACTTTGTTGCGGCCGAGGGTGCACCACAAGGTCCTGGACATTATGGTGCATAGATGATACGGTGTTGTTGTAGTTGTATACTTGTGTGTTTTTGGATTTTCAATTTTGTCTTTGTGTGCGTTTAAAGGCCGGTGTAGTCCCCTAGTCCCCCACTGCTTCAGCCCAAAGAGTAGGTGAGGGGTGAAGGAGTAAGGTGTAATCCCAGGCTGAAGCGGGATTCTCGTATTCCCCTTAATCCAACCCCTTGGCGATTCCTGACCAAGGTAACCCTGTGGGAGAACCCTTGGACGCATGTCGCTTTTCAAGAAGTTATCATCAGGATTTTATATGAGGATGATGGCTGTTAGGTTCTACCTCACTTCTTTTGTGGCCGTTGAAGCGGTTATGCTGTTGGGGGTATATCTGGCCGATATGGGCGCACCTTAGGGGTTTCTGATGTCGAGGTGGCACTCTGATCTCAGGCAAGCCGTTGAATTGAAGTAATTGTTGGCTACTAGGGCCGATGTAGGCGTGACCTGTGAACGTTGGAGGGTCATATCTCCCTTTAGTGTGGGCATTGGTCGTTATAGGGGCTACTTGTTGGTATGTTGGACGTGGGCTGATAGTGTTGGAAGTGGGCCTGGCCCATCTTCTAAACTGGTGGCACCTTATTGGGCCTTGGGGTGGTGGCCGTTCATGTGGCCACTGGGAGGGTGCCACGTGTAGTGACTGTTGGGGGGAGGTCTATACATACCCCCCCTTCCGAAGGAAGTCACCCATTTGCATCCCGAGCTAACGAAGTACTGCCTAATTTTCTAGAGAGAGAAAGGTTTGCTCGAGTGTTCTTCAGTTTCTTCAAAACTTCAAAGGTCAGTTCGTCAATCTTTCTCCGTTTTCTTGTATACTTTGCTTCCCTTATGCTTTGATCTAGTCTTAGCCAATGAGCCACACTTAGATCCCATATAATCCCCCTTAGGCCTTAGGTAGTTGTTATGGTGAAACCACTGGACGACGAGTACTACCCGTATAACGATGAAGCCTCCGCTAAGTCCCTTGATTATGAGATAGTTGAAGAGTGCTGCGAGGAGATTGAGGAGTTGAGTCCCTTCAGATATGGGGAGCAAAGGGATGAGGAGAGTGCGGACGAGGAAGCCGCCTCGTCGTCTGAGGGTGAGGATGTTGGGGTATCACGTGCGGTGGATGGAGCATCCACGTCGGCCACCATTCCGTGTCCCAGTCCCCTTTCTGCCG